TTCATTTGATTTGATTCATTCTGATGTATGAGGACCTTCTCCTGTTGCCACAAAAGGAGGGTCCTCGATATTATGTTTTTTTTATTGATGATCATACTCATTATTGTTGGATTTATTAATGAAACATCGTTCTGAATTCTTTGAGATATATATATTCTTTTGAGCTCTTGTCAAAACTCAACATTCTACTGTTATAAATTTTTTTAGGTGTGATTTGGGTGGGGAATACACTTCTAATAAATTTGATGAGTTGTTTGCCTTGGATGGAACTATTTACCAAACTTCATGTACAGATACTCCTGAGCAAAATAGTGTTGCTGAAAGAAAATATAGGCACATTGTTGAAACTGCTCGTTCTCTCTTGTTGTCTTCTTCTGTTCCTAGGGAGTTTGGGGTGAAGTTGTTCTTACTGATGTAGGTTTAATTAATACAATTTCATCTTCTCATATTTCAGGTTTTTCTCCTTTCGAAAAGTTGTATGGGTGTGCCCCTAATTATTCTTTATTTAGAATTTTTGGTTGTACTTGTTTCGTTCTTTGTCCTCATGTTGAACGCAACAAGCTATCTTTTCGATCTGCTATTTGTGTCTTTCTTGGTTATGGTGAAGGTAAAAAGGGTATCGTTGTTTTGATCTAATAACTCAAAAATTTTATGTGTCTCGTCATGTTGTTTTTCTTGAGCATATACCTTTATTTTCTATTTCATCCACTACTTATAGCTTGACTAGATCTGATCTTATTCGTATAGATCCTTTTTTTGAGGATTCTGATAATTTTTTATCTCAGGTTTCTAGTACTTCAAATAGCAGCACTGATCATTCTACAGTACTAACACTTTACTCTCTAGCACACCTGAAGCTACCTCCTCTCCTATGGTCCCTCAAGCTCCGTCTGAGATTGTGGATCCACTTCTACGTCAATCCACACGCATTCGTAAGTCCACAAAGTTACCAGATTTTACTTATTCTTGTTATTCTTCATCTTTTACTTCCTTTTTAGCTTCTATTCATTATCTCTCTGAGCCCTCTTCCTATAAAGAGGCAATTCTTGACCCTTTTTGGTAACAAGCTATGGATGAGGAACTTTTTACTTTGCATAAGACAGATACTTGGGATTTGGTTCCTCTACCTCCTGGTAAGAGTGTTGTTGGGTGTATAAGATTAAGACCAATTCTAATGGATCTGTTGAGCGATACAAAGCTAGGTTGGTTGCAAAAGGGTACTCTCAACAGTATGTTATGGATTATGAGGAGACATTTGCTCCTGTTGCAAAAATGACTACTATTCGTACTCTTATTGTAGTTGCTTCGGTTCGTCAGTGGCATATCTCTAAACTTGATGTTAAAAATGCCTTCTTGAATGGGGATCTTCAAGAAGAAGTTTATATGGCTCCCCCTCCTAGTGTTTCACATGATTCTGGGTATGTTTGCAAGCTTAAGAAAGCGTTATATAGTCTCAAACAAGCACCTCGTGCTTGGTTTGAGAAATTTTCTGTTATGATATCTTCCCTTGGGTTTACTTCTAGTAGTCATGATTCTGCTCTTTTTGTTAAGTGCACTGATGCAGGTCGTATCATTCTGTCTTTATATGTTGATGACATAATTATTACTAGTGATGATATTAATGATATTTCAGTTTTGAAGACAGAGTTAGCTAGACAGTTTGAAATTAAGGATTTGGGTTCTCTACGATATTTATTGGGTATTGAGGTAGCCTGCTCATCCAGAGGTTATCTTCTTTCTCAGTCGAAATATGTTGCAGATATTCTTGAGCGAGCTAGACTTACTGATAATAAGACTGTATATACTCCTATTGAGGTTAACGCAAAGTATTTTTCTTCTGATGGTTTACCTTTGTCAGATCCTACTTTATACCGTACTATTGTTGGGAGTTTGGTATATCTCACTATTACTCGTCTAGATATTGCATATGATGTTCATGTTGTTAGTCAGTTTGTTGCTTCTCATACTACAGTTCATTGGGCAGCAGTTCTTCGTATTTTGAGGTATTTTTGGGGTACAGTCTTTCAGAGTCTTTTACTTTCATCCACCTCTTCCTTGGAGCTGTGTGCATACTCTAATGTTGATCATGACAGTGATCTCACAGATTGCAAATCTGTTACTGATTTCTGTATCTTTTTGGATGATTCTTTTATTTCTTGGAAGAGCAAGAAACAATCTGTTGTTTCTCAATCTTCAACCGAAGCAGAATATCGTGCTATGACATCTACTACCAAAGAGATTGTTTGGTTACGTTGGTTACTTGCAGATATGAGAATTTCTCTTTCTCATCCCACTCCTATGTATTGTGACAACCAGAGTTCTATTCAGTTTTTCATGAACGAACTAAGCACATTGAGATCGATTGTCACCTTACTCGTCATCATCTCAAGCATGACACCATTACTTTGCCCTTTGTTTTTTCTTCTTTGCAGATTACAGATTTCTTTACCAAGTCGCATTCTATTTCCTATTTTCGTTTTCTAGTTAGCAAAGTCTCGATGCTTGTCGCTGCTGCATCGTGAGTTTGAGGGGAGATGTTAAGAAATATAAGAATATTTTGTTTATTAAGGGTATAATAGTCATTTACTTTCCCTGTCTTGTTTAGTTTATATATAGTCTCTTTGTATTTAGGTTATTTTACTTTTTTGTATTCAATTGAATTATGCAGTATCAATAAAACCCTAGTCTTCTATTTTCTTATCTCTTGCATTTCTTTAGATTGTTCAACAAACTACATACTCCACTGCTCCATCAGTTTTCCCTGAACCCCCACTACTTCAAAACATCACTATTCTAGTTTCCATTAGACTAGATCAGTTAAATTATCTTCTATGGAAGATCCAACTTCTTCACATCCTTCGTTCTCAAGATCTCTTCAAGTACATTGACGGGTCTCTATTTGTCTCACCCCAACTTATTAGCCAAACAGATGATACAGGCATTGAATCTGTCATTCCTAATTCTGAATTTGCTACTTTGACACGATTTGACCAACCCCTTCTGAGTTGGCTTAATGCCACTCTAACCGAGCCCGTTCTTGCTCAATTGGGTGGTTTAACCATATTTCGTGACGTTTGGCTTGCCCTTGAACTTGCATTCTCTAGTCAAGGTGTTCTCTCTCTTCGTTTTCAACTCTAGAATGTGAAAAGTGGCTCACGTTCCATTACTGATTATCTTAAAAGACATCAAGGCTATCGCTGATTCTTTGGATTCCATTCAATAGCCTCTCTCTGATTCTGATCTTGTCCTTCATGTTCTCACCGGATTAGGCTCTGACTACGAATCATTTCGTATAGCGATTATAGTTTGTTCATCTCCATTCAGCTTCATCGAATTACAACCCCACCTCAGTCATGAACTGAATCTGGCACACACCACTCAGCTTGCCTAAACAAGCATTCAAATTTCTACTTTTGTGGCCACTCGTGGTGGTCGTCACTCTCGTGGTCGAGGCCGAAATTCGCCTAACTCTAGTTTTTCTTAATAACGGTTCTCTACTAATCGGATGGATCAAAGATATTCTAGATCATCTGGTCGTGCTTCTCCAAATTTCGGTGTCGGTATTCTTGGTCCCAACCATCATTCTCCTCCCCCCCCCCCGCCAAACGTTGAGATTTGTCAGATTTGTGGTGGCAAGGGCCACATCGCAATTCGATCCTATAATCATTTTGATCAATCCTATCAGGCTGATGATCTACCTTCTACATTTGCTGCCATGAAAATTGTCTCTAATGATCGGCAGTGGTTCCCTGAAACTGGCGCTACCAATCACATGACTGCAGATGTTCATTCTTTGCACCCACGCAGTGAATATCTTGGCAATGATTCCATTAGTGTTGGAAATGGTCACCATATTCCTATTAGTATTACCCATACTGGTAACACAATTCTTGTCACTTCCTATTCCTTACTTCCTTTGAAAAATCTTTCGTGTTCCCGAGATTAAGAAAAATCTTCTTTCAGTGGCTCAACTTACCCATGATCTTAACTGTTGCTTTAACTTTACTTACCATGGTTTCTTTACCAAGGATGGACAAATGAGGAAACACTTTACACCGGGCCGAGTAAGGGAGCGCTTTACCCAATAACTGCTTCTTCACTACTCCGTAGTCATCAAGCTTTGATTAGCAGCACAACCTCACGTGATGTTTGGCATATGCGGCTTGGCCATTCTAACTTGCAAGTTCTTCGTTGATTATCTTCTAATCACGCAAATTCTTTAGAAGTTTGTGCTAGTTGTTTGACTGGAAAAATGTCTAAGCTTCCATTTGCTATTTCTAATTCCAAGTATCACTTTCCGTTAGAAATTATCTTTTCTGATTTGTGGGGCCTAGCCCCAATTATTTCCAGAGATGGTTATCGTTATTATCTTTTACTAATTGATGATTATTCTCATTTTTGTTGGTTATATCCTTTACACTGCAAAAGTGACGCTCTCAAATGCTTTGTCCACTTCAAAACAATGACCAAGAATGCCCTCTCCACTATAATCAAAACTCTCTAATCTGATTAATGGTGGTGAATATACTGGAAAAATTTTTAGCCAATTTTTATCAGCAAAGGGTATTCAACATCATTTTTTTTGTCAAAAAATCCTAAACAAATGGCATAGCTGAACGCAAACATTGTCATGTTGTCCATATGAGCCTTACTTTACTTGATCATGCCTATTGCCCAAATCCTTTTGGGTTGAAGCATTCCAAACAAGTGTTCATATCATCTATCGACTCCCCACTAAAATTCTTGGGCACAAATTGCCTCATGAGGTTTTGTTTGGTTTACTCTTTCGATATGATCATTTACGCGTGTTTGCCTGTGCCTGCTATCCATATTTAGTACCATATAATTTGCACAAATTTGACCCACCAAGCAAACAATTTGTCTTTTTGGAATATAGCACTCAACACAAAGGATACAATTGTTTTGATCCTCTTATAGGCCGAACACATATATCTTGCCATGTAATTTTCGATAAAACTTTTTTTTCTTATCCAACTCTCACTCAATCCTCTCCCCCTCTACCTACAAACCCTCATACTTTACTTATGTGGCTAATACCAAATGACATTCCTATATTCAAACAACCACCTAGCTCTATATCACCTTCTCCACTACCTGAATCATGCTCTTTTGTCTCCCCTATAGACCCTCGACAACTTCTCCAATTAGCCACCCTTTCCTCTACACAAACATCATTTTCTCCACATACCATTGCCCCACTTGCATACTCAGCCCAAGTCACTTCTAAACATCCCATGGTCACTCGCTCTAATTCTGTTACTCGAAAGTCCAAGTTTTTTCCACCAAACATCCTTTACCTTCATGTTTTTTTAATCTACATTATCCTCATTACCCCCAGATCCCACCTCCTACATTAGTGCCACCAAAAACCCTAGTTGGAGAGCGGCTATGATGGAGGAATTCAATGCTCTGCTTAAAAATCAGACTTGGAAATTAGTGCCCTATGATCCTACCATGAATGTATTTGGTGCAAATGGGTCTCTCGCACCAAGCAAAAGCCTGATGGGTCAGTGGATCGGTACAAAGCCTGGCTTGTTGTTAAAGGTTTTCATCAACAATCTGGTATTGATTATGATGAAACCTTCAGCCTAGTTGTAAAACATCCTACTATCCTGTTGGTTTTCTCTTTAACTTGCACTTTCTCTTGTCCTCTTCGCCAACTTGATATCAAAAATGAATTCTTGCATGGCAACCTTGTTGAAGTTGTCTACATATAGCAACCTCCTGGATTTTTAGCCAAAAATCTGCCAATCATGTATGTAAATTATGGAAAACTCTTTATGGCCTTAAGAAAGCTCCATGGGCATGGTTCTCTCGATTTAGTTCGTTTTTATTTGGACTTGTATTGCATGCTTGCAAATCAGATTCCTCTCTATTTGTTCATCGTTGTTCATCTGGTTACATATATTTACTCTGCTTGTTCCTTAGAGTGGATTAAATTATCGAGGAATTACCAAGTGTAAGAAGGGGTATCATTTTTGTAACTTGATCAATTACCGATATCATCCCCTCAAGTAAAACTAATGGTTCAAGAGGTGATGTTTAAAAGAAAATAAAAACCTTGAATTTCGAGAGTTTGTTGGAAGAAATTGACCACTTTAAGAAATAACAATTAGAGAAAAGAACCGGTTGATCGGTAGAGATCACCTCACTATGAATAGACATTTTGACTTAAACTCTATGACTCACTTGAGATTGTGGTCGAACACACCCAAGTGGTAGATATTCGTTTAACACCCAATTCATAAATAACAAATATGTATTCAAGACAATTAAATTGATTGAAAGGAATTTACTTCGATTGAAGCGATTACAAGAATTATCCGTGCCAAGTCTTAGTTGTCGAAGGGTAAGCAAGAAGATATACAATTCGATAGCATCTTGAATTTAACACAAATAACTCAATAGTAGACAAGCCCTGGTTTTAAGTCAAAATCCTCAATTCACGGATGAGACTACTTCATTCGATCAAATCGGTGAACGATTACTCACTCATGACTAAATTAAAAAAAACATCATTGTAAATGAAAGAAAAAGACAAGAATTGAAATTGTAAGAAAACTAAATACCTTGTATTGAAATTGAAATGAATGTAAATCGTTTACATAAAGAATAAAAAGTAATTGCCTTGCATGAATTTAATACTTGAATTAAAACAAAGCTTTTAAAGTAAAACAATTGAGAAAGCTTGAAAGAGAGGAACATCTAAAACCCTAGGAAATAGAAAAGAAAAGAATGGTGAATTGAACGATGGAATTGGAGCTCCCCTCTCTCTTGCTGGACTTGAGTATTTTTAGGAGGTCTTGTGCCAAAAAACGCTCCTTTTTATCCACCAATCACACCCTCAAAATATTTAGCAGATTGCCTTCCTAAGGGGTCTCAATTACCAAAATTACAAGAACCTACTGGTAGGATTGTTCACTATTGTCTTCCTATTGGTTGCCTTACTCTCCTATTGGTAGAACCCTTCTCTGTCTTAAACCTACCTGTAGCACCAACTTTTGTCCTTCATTATACCGGTACAAGACCTACTAGTAGAAATGTTCTTTCCTTAATTCTGCTTGATGCAGCCTTGGCTTCACTCCTAGACTTCTTAGCTCATCTTCCAAGTACTCATGGCATTGAAACACGTGAAATTCCAAGTCCTTACACTAATTCAACTCCTAACACAAAAATTCACTATAAAATGCAAATCTCAACTAAAACAAAAGAATTAAGTGATTGGCATGACTAATATGAATGATTATGAGGCTTATAATTTGCAATACAATGCTCTCATCACACCCCAAACTTAAATTTTGCTAGTCCCTTAGCAAAACAAAGTAAACAAACATCAAAACTTCCTAAACATTATCCAAAGCATAGTCAATCACATAACCAATACCATCAAATTGAAATGCATATGCTTAAAGAATAGATGACACACCAAAGGAATTAAAAGACTTCATGTATATATCCGCTATGTGCTTTTGGGTACAAAAGAACAAAATTGTAGTAGCCTTCCACCTACGAGTTCTTTTACTCAGGCTACTACAACCCAAAACAAAATTTCAAAGGTTCTACTCGAACCTAAACACTATTAGACAACTAAAAAAATGAAAAGGAAAATAGAAAGGTAGAAAGGTAGATCCATGAGGTTAGTCAGAGGCATACCTGTCCTCATCTTACACACTATTAGACAACTAAAAAGATGACAAAGAAAATAGGAAGGTAGTCAGAACCTATACACTATTAGACAACTAAAAATATGAAAAGAAAATAGAGAGGTAGAATGGTAGATCCATGATGTTAGTCAGAGGCATCTCCCTCCTCATCCTCACTCCTCTCCTCCTCCTCCTCCTCTGTGTCAGAGATAATCACCAGCTTCTCAAAATGCTTACCTGCAGTCAATCCCTTCCCCTTTAGAGATGGTGGCCTTGGCCTAAGTGTCCATTGTTTTTGCCATACCTTCCAACACTTTTAGTGCAAGGATGCATAGAGGAGCCAAGCGAAAAAACCTATAGCCTTAGAGAGTCCATCCAGAGGATTTGAAGCTGAGATCTTCTTGATCACAGGAGATATATCCTCTTCCTCCTCAGAATCCAACTCCACCATCTTTCTCTTGGTTTGAAGGTGAGGTCTTCTTGGTCACAAGAGGTATATCATCTTCCTCCTTAGAACCCGACTCCACTATCTTTCTTTTACTCTTTTCCCTCGCTAATGCTCGCTTTGATGAGGCAGCTGCGATTGTGGCTTTGTTTGGGGGTGTCCCTCAATTTCCCCTTGTCCTTGCCATCTTTGCCACAATCATAGAAACCATGGCAATAATGAAGACCCAAGCTAGTAGAGTAGTCCCATAGATTCTGTAAGAGAAGTTAGTTTGGGACAAAATTTTCGTAGGAGCCATTTTGAAATTCAAGATCAAAAAGAGAACCAAAGTGAAATTGGAGAGATTTGAGGGGTTGGGGAGATTAGACTAGGATTTTCGTAGCCTAGGGAGAATTCCTAGAGGATGGGTCTTAAGGGTTTGAGTGAATGGAGTGATTTTCTACGGATAAAAACCCTTGTATTTTTTTTCCAACCGAATAGGAACCTACTAGTAGGAAGTAACTTTCGACCTACCAGTAGCTGAGTTCAGAATTTCAAAAGTTTTTTCTATTTTTTTCTTTGTAGGAATTAATTGACCCTAAATCCTAAA